CCACGTGTCGGAAGAGCCACCATGGGAAGGTTGTACCCATCGACGAGGCTGACATCGTAGAAATCTTTGTCGCCATATCCCCCGAGTGTGATCTCAAAAAGTGATGCTGGCGGAGTCGCGCCATTCCCATCACACTCCAATCTCCCACCACAATCTCCAGTCAGACACTTCCCGACACCAGAGGTATCGAAGTTGCAGCCAGTCCTACCCCATATCCGGCCTGACCAGCCCGGAACCGAAGGAATCCTCACGGACTGTCCCACGTCGAGCTTGAACCCTGTTGTGGGTAGCTGCTGTGTACCTGAACCTGCAAGAGTGCCTGGCCATATAGTGTAAGGGCAATTATTGGAAATGAGGAACGTGGACGAATAAGAAACAGCGAACATCAAAGAGACATAAACGAGGATAATTGATGATCTTCCCATAACCCAATGAGATAGAAAGACAAAATCTAGTATTCTAATGTTTAGGTGTTTTTAGGGTTTCAGGATTCAGGAAATAGGTTTAGGTTAGAGTCCCTGGGGATAGGACCGAAGTTTATACAAAAATGTTGGGGGGGGAAGGATTCAAAATTGAAGGGATGAAGTTGCTTTAGATAGCCTCTAAGCCGCAATACAATAATTTGGGGTTTTGTTTTCCCTTTCAGAGCAGAGGCTTCTCCCACAGGGAATCCTTTCCCTTGCTTCCCTTTCTTTTTCTTAATTTGATAAAGACAATCTAATTTGATTTATATGAAAAGAATCTATACTTTATATAGATGCATAAAACAATTTGCAAAGAAAAGTCTCAAACATATTTTATATCTTATCCTATCATTACAACTATCATCCTGATTCATCTCTCTCCCTCCCCCTCTCCCTCTCTGTATATATATATAACTTGTAAATGAGATATACTCTTTATAGTTATTTATTAATATTATTATTAATTTATTATTAGTGAATAGCTTCCTGCAGCCGTACCGTATCGTAGGGGAACAGTCATATGTAAGTCAGAGATACGTTCCTTACTTTTTATTCAGAATCGTCAAAGATCTCAGGAAATCTAAACACATCAACCATCGCATATACCTTTCACCTTTCTCTCAGATATACTGAATTCATCCGTTCAAATCCACGTCAGATTTTCTTGCCAACCTTTAACAACTAAGAAGCAAACATTTCCCATCTAATAGGAAAAAAAACAATTTTTATATCCTAGATCTACAACCAACTTGGACCGTCTCTTGCCTATCATTCACGCAGCTAAGACCAATTGATCGAATGGCTCATAATCAAATTACCAAACTTCTGCATCTTAAATCAAAACCACAGACACCAAAAATCACAATCATGGTGCCTTCACATAAAGCATACCAAGATAAACTATTTCCCATATTCACATCTGGTCCCAGAAGAAAAAGGGACAAACAGAGATAGAACATAGCCTCTTATATAATGAATAACAAGCAAAGATCAGTACAGGGTTACATACCAGGATCCCGATTCTGCCATTGAGTTAATTAATGACCTACAATCATTCATTGTACCAAAAAATTGTCAGAATGTATCAGAGAAAATGAATATAAAGAAAAGTAAAAAAAAGTGTCAGTAGCAGAGACTACAATTAACCAAAGAAGCGAAGTAAAAGAACTATTCTGACATAAATTACGATGAGGTGCTGATGGTATGAGCATTTTTTGCTAACTGCGCCCCCATGGGGTAGTCAGTTAGCAGTTACCGCGCTTCCACTCAGTTTCTGGAACATCTTTGTATGCTGAGAGAATACACAAGGGCACACAGTAGCCTGAGCACGAGCGGACCTACAAAGAAAGATTTAAACTAATAGTTAGCTTTACTCCTCATTCCGGAATATATAGTTAAGAAGCATAATAAAACTCTCCCTGAATAGCAACAATTTGAAACCTGCACAAACATAAAACATTTTCAGGACATCTTGTACTCTTCAATCAAGGAAATATGGCACAGAAATAAGACAGGATCAAGTTTCCATCTCAATGAATCAAGAGGATTTGATTTGATCTACACGATTACAAACCAAGATCCTTCACCTTGAAGAACCTGATATGAACTACGCTGCAGTCGTTATCAATGTCAACAAGAACTGTAGCACCACACTTACAGGATAACCAATAGGTTTGCCAGCACTGCATAATGCTAGGTTACAAACAACCGAGGCTGACCCAAACAATATATAACACTTCCTAACATCAGGAGGCAACAGTAGCAAGATAGAATTTGTTATTCTACTTTACCTAACATGATAACAGAAATGTCCGAAATTAAGTAGCAGAATGATAAAGATAATATGTCCACCCTACATAACTACGACATAAAGTTCGACAACACTAGCATAAAACACTCCTTCAGACAGGCAGGATACTACAACCCCTGTTAGAGCAGTCACATAATGTCTCTAAAAAAAGAGAGAGGAAGTTATTCTGCATGGTAAGGAAGAGCCTCTCTGATGTAAAGCAAATCAACATAAATCTAGCTCATGTCCATTCCATCTCCAGCCTGGCTGCAAATCGGACTGGCCGCAGAAAATGACCTCTCGAAAGGAGAAGAATGGAACTGTGCATCATGTCGACGACGCTTAAATGAGCAGCTCTCAGAGGGGTGACTCTCGACATCCAGCTTCCTCCGAATCCCTTTAACTGCCTGCTCTTCAGCTGGCGAGAGAGGGAAAATTCGGCCACTGGCTCGGCACAATGAGCTATGGTTATCATACAGAATTCGCTGGTTGCAATTCTTGTCGCAGACATGAGTCAGCCCTGTTAGTTTGCAGCGATACATATTCCCACAAACATTCTCATTCTCACATTTCCAGTCACATTTGTGACCCGGGATGGATCCAGCTCGACCCAGAATGGCAGACAAGTAAATAACGTTTGCAGAGCCAACCACAGGGGATTTTCCAAATACCTCCATCTTTTCTCCGAACAAACAAGTAATTGCCTTTGATCTGAAACCTCCGAAAGGCCTTCACTCTGCAGGACCCAAGAAAGCCGAAGAAACGATCAATATCATCGCAAGGGAAGGAGACACGCGTAACACAGATTGTTCCACATCTAGCAATACAATTCCACAGTTTCGATAATCTCCCAGATCTCCAGCAACGCCTTTCCAAAATCACATAAATGACACTCACACGGATAGAGGAAGGCATTGACTTTAAAAAAATAAATGAAAACGAATTCACATAGACCCCAAGACATGCTATGCTAGAGATCGAAGATGCCTCGTACAGTCCGTCACATTAAGAATACTCAGCGACATCGACGACACAGATAAGCGACTAATACACAGATTCCGCACATCCAAAATGAGAAATTCCACCAAACCTGACGACTAGACCGAATCGTAGCAAAAAAAAAACAGCTGATTGCGTATCATTACATAGCTAAGAGATCCCATGACAAGAACATCGGAGAATGAAGCGAAACGGACAAGAAAGGAGAAGATTATCCGGGAAAATTAAGACATCAGAATCGAATTCATAGTGTGTATGAGAGAGAGAAAGAGAAACATACCTACAGCGAGAAGATGCAGCGGCGGGGACGGCGGCAGAGAAACCCTAAATTCGGACTCCGGCGAAGAAAACAGAGAAGAAGAACAAAGTGGGGGAAAGAGAAGATGAAAGTATTTATAGATGAGACTCGCACTGTCTTGTAACGGATAGGATCTGACTCCGTTAGTAAACGATCCCGCTTTATGGGTCCCACCTCATCTCCTTTTTATGAATTTTTAATTCCTTTCTATTTATTTTCTCTTACGTCCGGTACTTGATGGGCAAACTATTCCAGCGATTATTTTACCTATTTATTTTATTTTCTGCTATAAATAAGGTGTGGACAGATATTTATTTATTGTTGTGAACTTAAATCTACAAAAAACGAAGGAAAAATACTATATAATTTAATATATATATATATATACTTCAACTATTTTGCGTAGAAAATATTTCAATATATTTGAAATCTCAATAACAATATAACATTCACTAGATATATAAATTTATTTTGATGTTGTCCATGTATTATCGCAAAGACTCAAATTCAATCCTTGCCTAGTCTTATTATACAACAGCTAAATGTTAATTTCTTTCAAATACACGGTATCAATCAAGAAATAAAAATAATTTCATACCAAAAAAAAGAAATAAAAATAATTTTACCAAAATAATATTCCGGAAAAAAGGGCAAAAAAGTCAAAGGAGGAAACGGTAAGAAGGCCGTAAAGTTGGGAAGAGAGAGCGATGACTTTGGCCCACCTAAGTTCACCCGCCTTCCTTGCTCCTTCACACTCACTCTTTTTCCCATTATTCCTCGAAATATTTTTAATAATTGTTTTACAAAACAACATTTTCCACACTTATATAAATATAAATATAAATATGTTGAATTGAGATGCCGATGTATACATATATAACTTTTTGTGATGTGTATGACATATTAAATAAAAATAAAAATAAAATAAAAATATATATAGATATATACATACATATTTATATATATATACACGTAATACGTTTATATATTCTTTTTTTATAACCAGGATGGTTCTTCACGTTTTCGACCCGATTATATCCACCTTAGATTCGAGACCAGTCTTTGTATATGGACTATTTTAATCTAGAAATTACATTCTTCTCCACTTGTCACCTCTCAATCACTGGATCACCAACTATTGGGTAATACGCCTATATATTTATATATATATGGTAAATTTTTAGTTTAGACGTAGCTTTATGTCAAATAAAAAACTTGTATAGGATCATGACATATTAATAAAAATGTTGTTTTCTCCAATTTTTTTTATAAGGTTTCATTAATTTAAGAGAAAATCTCAAAATATCAACTCTCATAATAGACGTTAACGACATGAAATCAGAGGAATTTTTGTTCATCGACATGATGACATGGCATATCACGTCTTCACGTATTGACGACATGAGCAGTTAAAAAAAATTCGCATTAAAAAGAATATATTACGTTTGAATAATGCTTGAATTTATGTTGTAAAATTTATATTTGGATTAAGTGTTTTGGACAGAAGAAGTTGATTGTTTTTTTTTTTTCAATGCATTGTCATTCAGATTATTCTTGCTATACATAAAATATGTTCATACATGAACATGATTCAAAAATAGCATACAATATCATACCACTATTTTTTTTTGAACGATCTCTCCACTTGTTGGATTATGTTTAGGATGTCAAAACGAGTTCGTCACGAGACGAGGTGAACTAATATTTTTTAAAACACGTTTGCAAACGAGTCTAACGAACTAGTTCACCAAAAGCTCGTAACTCGACGAACTAGTTCGTCAAACTCACGAGTACTCGTGATATATTTAAAAAAAATGATATTTTACTTTTTTATATTTTATAAAAAAAATTATACTTAATTTAATTTTTATTAATTGTACAGATAATTTATCTTATGTTTAATATTTAAAATTATATTACAATGTTGTTTGATTGATATTTTTAATAATATAAATAAAAATATAATATTTATTTCTATTTCGTGAATTGATTCGTTTTATTCGAAAAATTGGCAAACCAAATTGAGTCAAAATTTTATAGTTCGTTAAAAAACGAGTCTGACAAATTAAATCTGAAACGAGTATGTTCATCACGAGTCGATCCGAGCCAAGTCGAGCCGAATTGGTTCGTTTGATACTCTAGCTACGTTGTTGGATAGGTTCAGAATGTTTTTTTATATAAACTAAATGGGCAATATAGCAAAAATACTCTTACTTTGCTACAAAGACTTCATGGTATACCCTTCAAAACCTTAAATTTTTGGAAAAAAAATAAAAAAAAACAAAAGATATAATTAACCTTCTCACAAAAGTAACGTGATACTCCTCTCTTCATTTTGAATTCATCTCTCTCGTTTTCATTCTTTGACAACTCTTCATTTTTTTTTAACTTTCTCTTTCCACTCTTATCTTTCTCTCAACTATTCCATTTTCTCCCTTTTCATTTCATTTTTATACATAGAAAAACAAATAAAAAATGGTTATTTCGTTGAGCATATCTTCACCGACGACCTCATATCTTCTTCTTGAATCGGTCTAAGACAGAACAAATGACAAGAACTGAAGGTAAATTCATTAATACAAGAGATTGGTTCGATGCATAAACTTTGTGTGTTTGGGTTTGAGTTTTATGATTGTTAGAGTGAATCGTGTGGTTTTTTTTTATGAAAATGAGATAGCAAAGCAAATCTGTCGAAGAATATGCAAGAGGCGCATATTTAATTTCAAATAAATGTTCGGAGCGATAATGAAACGGATTGACAACGAAAACAAATGTACGTCACATTGGTTACACCGTTTAAAATTTAATTTTGGTCACACTGGTCACACTAGTCACCCTGGTCACACCGTTCAAAATTTAGTTTTGGTCACACTAGTCATATTGGTCATATTGGTCACACTAGTCACATTGGTCACACTAGTCACATTGGTCACATTGGTCACACCGTTCAAATTTTAGTTTTGGTCACACTAGTCATATTGGTTACACTTGTCACACTGGTCACACCGAAAATTTTTAAAATTCACGCGAAAATATTTATTTTTTGTGATGGATGGAGTTTTAAAAATTTTAAAATATTTAAATTTTTTCTTAGGAAATCGAAAACTACTTTTCTCTCTCTCTTCTCATTAATGTTTCTATCATTGGGACCCACACCAATGGATATTTTGGGAATAACATAATTATAAAGGTATATTTTAAAGTTTTTTTTTTTAAATTTTTGTAGGGGTATAATGTGACGTCTTTGTAGCATAATAGGGGTATTTTTGATAAAAACCCAACTAAATGGCATTCAATATCGTACCACCAAAGGTTGCTATTGTCGTCCCACTTGTAACATTTTTTTATATAAATGGTAATTGGCACATAGACTCACTGATAATTAAAAAAAAAAAAAGGATCCTTGGCTTTGTTTTATAAAAAAAAAAAAGGAATATTCGGACGCCACGTCAGATGAGCAATAAAGGCTATCGTGAGAGGGAGTAGGTGGGCCTTTTAGTGGGCCGTGCCGATGTGGCTAAAAGCTGTCCACTGCTATCGTGCTTCACTTTCTTCCCCTTTTACAGAAAAATATATATATATTTATATTATCGATTTCACACATTGCACGTTTCGAATTTTAACTTAATTCGTATGAGTTAATTTTTTTTTAAAAAAAAGACATTATATTTTAGTTTTTTCCCTGTCACTTATTTGAATAGGATAATTTATATTTAAATTATCATTTTTTTGCATTATATAATTGTAATGTTTTAAAAAACGTTATCATATATCTTTTTTAACTCGCCCCTTATATATGTATGAATGAATTTTAAATTGACTCGGTGTAATAGTTTGACGGTCGTATTTGACTATTCAGAAATTTAGCAATACTACCGATATAAAAAAGGAAAATTTTCATAAAAATAACAGAATTTATCTAAATATAACACATAAATATCTCTTTTATTTAATAAATTAAAAAATATGAAAATTTGGTCAATTTATACTAAATGGATACCAATATGGTATCTATTTGGCATAAATAAATGCAATTATCCATTCACTATATTATCCATTTGGTATCTATTTGATACGAATTAAAATATTTATTAAGCAATTTAAAAACTGGATATTTATAATTGATATAAATGAATCAAATAGCAAATTAGAGCTAGAAGTGTTTATATGATACAAAAAATATGGCGTATTTATGAGGAGAAAAAAATATAGCCGATAGCCGTCTTATACACACGCGTGGAGGTGTGTCGATACATATGCACGTGCGAGCGTGCTTATAAATATACATATACACACACGTTCATCAGCGGAAGGATCCGAGAATCCGGAGAGGGGTTATCAGATACGGAAGGGTCCACGTAACACCCGTGCTTCATTTGGGTTCTTCCTCTTTTTTTTTTCTCCTCTTTCTCTGGGATTTTTTTTATTTTCTGTTTCCTTGTTCCGATCAGAGAGAGATAACAATGGAGATGAAGATTCTGGATTACACTATGGTCCCATTGGGGATGGTGATGATGGTGGCGTATCATCTATGGCTTCTCCGCCGCATCGTTCGCCGTCCTTCCTCCACCGTTGTCGGCCTCAACGCCATCAATCGCCGCCTCTGGGTCCGAGCCATGATGGAGGTACTATCATCACACACACACATATATATATATATACACGCCTTTGTATATGCTATATGAATCTATCTATACACGATTTCGATTCCTCTAATGGGTATCAGACGAATTGCGATATGGATCTATGTATGCATGCGTGGTTATTTTCCAGGAAAGTACGGATTTTCCCGGAAAAATAACCCTAAAGATTCACGTTTCAGCTATCTTTCGAGTTAGAGAGACGGTGATTACCGAGTTATCTATGCACACACACACTGACTCGATGCGTGTTTTATGAAATCGTGTATACGATTTACGGAATTAATATCCAGGAAAATCAAATAAAATTCTATCAAAATTTTCAGCATGTCTCCCGCGTACATACACGCGAGTGTATATGACAGATCTGTGTACATATATATGTTATTCATTTCAGATCGGTATCAATTTTTTTTTGGGCAATGTTTATTTTATAAAATATAATTAACAAAAATTAAAATTTATATAATAAAATTATTAATTTATATAAAAAGTTATGTAAGGATAATAAAAAAAAATTATAATATATTTTGAATCTATAAATTTAGAGTTTCTGTGATAAATCTAACCCGTTTTTCAGTATTTTAAAATAAAATTTTAATTTGGGATTGAATGAGAGTAGTTTTTATTTTGGATTGTTTGTTTTAGTTTTTTGGTTTTTGGTTTTTAATTTTTAATTTTTGGTTTAAAAAACTTGATTGGTAAAAATAATATTTTAGCTTTTGATTTTAGATTTTATATTTTGAAATTACCAAAAATGGTTTTTATTGTTCAAATACATATATATTGTATTTATAATGCTTCAATATATATATACATATATATATATATATATATATTCAACATTAACATGTATATCTATATATATATGTATAACTATAGATATAAGATGACTACAATATATATTTTGAATAATAGATTTTGAATTTACCTCAAATTTTGTTTTTTTTTATAAAACTTTTTTCAAATATGAATTATAGCAAAAATGGTAAGAATATGTGTTTATATAGATATAGTTATAATGTGAAATTATTTTTAAAATGATGGATATTAATTTACTAACAAATCTCTAAAATCTACAAAATATTAGTTTTTACCTTTTATGTAGTTTTTCTAAAAAATTGGCTTAGCGGTTTTTTAGGAAAAATAAAATAAGAAAAACTTGACTTGGAAATTTTTTGGTTTTTTATTCTCTAAAAACTGGGGAAACTCCTAAGTCAAGACATTTAAGGCCTTGAATGGAGATGGCTTTTATTTTGGGTTTTTGGTTTTAGTTTTTGGATTTTGGTTTTTAGTTTTTGGTTTTTGACTTTTGGCTTTTATAATATTTGAAAACTCAAAAAAAGTAGTTTTTGGTTTTTCATTGATTTTTTCACTAAAATGGCTTTCCAAGTTTTTAGGAAAAGTAATTTTGTAAAAACTTGAATGATGTTTTTTTTTGTTTTTGGATTCTAAAAACTCCAAAAACTCCCACCATTCAAGGTCTAAGTGTTGAATGGCTAAGGGTTTTGAGAGTTTTTAGATTTTAAAAACTCAAAAATTGTCAATCAAGTTTTTGGATTTCAAAAAGTGAAAAAACTGACAATCAAGTTTTTTTAAATTTGGTTTTCTTAAAAACTAGAAAAACCACTTTATGGAAAAAATTGAACTAAAAACTAAAAGCTATATTTTTTTGGATTTACAAATCTATAAAAACCAAAAGCCAAAAACTAAAAACTAAAATCTAAAAACCAAAAACTAAATCCAAAAACTCAAAATAAAAACCTCATTCATTCAACACCTTAGGCTTTGAATGTTACTGGTTTTTATTTTGGGTTTTTGGCTTTAGTTTTTTGTTTTTAGATTTTAGTTTTTAGTTTTTGGCTTTTGGATTCTGAAAGTTTATAAATCTAAAAAAAATAGCTTTTAATTTTTAGTTGATTTTGTTTATAAAGTAGATTTTCGGGTTTTTAGGAAAACTAAATTTCAAAAAACTTGATTGTCAGTTTTTCACTTTTTGAAATTCAAAAACTCCGAAAACCACTTCCCATTCAACACTTTATTATTAATATATTTTGAGAATTATGAAATTTATTAAAAAATAATTAAATTTAATTTTGAATTAATAATAAGGTAATAATAAAAATAAATTTTGAAGTGTTAATTAATTTTTATATTTTATATTTATTTCTTTAAGAATAATAATAATAATAACTATTAATTATATTTAAAATATTTAATATTTTCAAAAGAAATAAATGTCTGACTTGAAAAGATATTTTTATAAATTTAAATTTATTATATTCTTTTTATAATTATGTACAATTAATAGTAATACTAATAATAAGAGATATTTTTATAAATTTAAATTTATTTTATTGTATAACTAATGCTAATGGTAATGAACTTTGCCAAAATTTATGACTGAGTCCCTGTCACTTTTTTTTTTGTTAATATATGCAAATTGGCCTTCCTATAAAAATAACCCAGAAAAGGTTTTTTTATCGTTCCTGTGGTATTGGAAAACGATGAGGAAGCAGAGAATCTACGCAATATATATATATATATATATATATATATATATATATATTCTCTCACATGCTGATGCATGAAAGCGTGTATGTCTCTCTATTCACCGCCATGTGTTCCTCTCTTGATGCAAAGGATGAATTCGATATTTCATTCTAATGCACTAAATATAGCTTTTGCGTGTATATATATATATATAGATCGTAATGAATGGCGTGTGTGAATTTGGTTGCATTTCTTTTGCTAACATTTTGATGCCTTTAATATGATTTCTCTAATGAAACAAATTAAGTTGTAGAATAATTTCACGGGAAGTATTTTGTGAATAACCTTTGACTTTGAGAATATATGTATAATATTTTTTTTTATAATGCGCAAGCTTACCAAATCTTTGCCCTAACTACAAAGTCCGTATATATGTATAATTTTATTACAAGGTATTATAGAACATATTGATCTCTAATAGATTTTTGTGTTATTTTGGGGTTTTTGATCGAAGGACGTGTCCAGGAACGGTGTTTTGGCAGTGCAAACACTTAGAAACAACATAATGGCTTCGACCCTTTTGGCAACGACAGCCATAACGTTGAGTTCGCTAATCGCTGTCTTAATGACGAGCGCGTCGGGCGTGCGTTCGGGTTGGAACGTGTTCGGGGACAAGAGCGACCGAGCATTCTCGGTCAAGTTCTTCGCCATCCTCGTATGCTTCCTCGTAGCCTTCCTCCTCAACGTTCAGTCCATCCGTTACTACAGCCACGCCAGCGTCCTCATCAACGTCCCCTTCAAACACATGACTTCGATGTCCTTGTCCAAACCCGTCGACAGCCACCCTCACAGCGTCATAACCCTAGACTATGTTTCTTCGACCGTGAACCGAGGGAGCTATTTCTGGTCGCTCGGGTTACGGGCATTCTACTTCTCGTTCCCGCTGTTCCTGTGGATCTTCGGCCCCATCCCGATGTTCTGCTGCTGCTTCGTTCTCGTCTTCTTGTTGTATTTTCTCGATATCGCTTTCGAGTACAAAGGCATCGGGGTTTTGGACAATGAGGAGAGCAAGAGATTAGAAGCTGAGATTGTCTAACGGATGTAAAACTAATGAAATGGTTCATTGGAGTTTTTTTTTTCACGGACATGTCTTAGGTTTTTTTTTTCCTGGTCTTACAATGTAATGATTTTAAGGTTCAATGATAGTTGAACCGTTTGAAGCATAAGCTGCTGACTACAAACTCTGTCTTTTCTCTTTTGATGTAACATTAAACTGCTGTCGAGTTCATGAGCCTTTGCTTTCACAAAGTGACAAAATGTACGAGGAATGTTCTTGTGCTTGTGGTGGCCCACCCCGGAAAAATATTGGATAAAAGTGGAAATTTGTTTTGGCAAAATCAAAAGTTGGAATCTTTTATCATTCGAATATCCGATCAAATTTTTAACAGAATAAATATATATGCATACATATGTATATATATACATATACATATGCATATATATATATGTATTATAATATTTATAATTATTTTTATTACTGTCTAATTATTTTTATTTAATTTTCATTATTTTGTCAAAAAAAATATATTTGTTGTGAATTTGGAGAGCGCAGCTAGGCATGCGCAATCGGATCCGTTAAATCGGGTTTTATCTGAACCGATCCGATTAAACGATTTTCGGTTTGGATCGGTTATGCTTGAAATAACTGATTGGTTGCTCTAATCTCATAACCGATCGGGTCGATTCGGTTCGGGTAAATAACCGATTAATTTCGGTTAACCAAGTAAACCGAAATTAAAATTAAAAATGAGGGTTAGCCACAATCTCCTCTCTGAGCTCTGTCTCGCTGCTTCTACTGCCTTCTGCATCTCTGTCGCCGGCCGTCATCTCGTTCGTCGCCGGATTTCGTTTCGATTTCCTCCTCCGCTCGCCGGCTGCTCAGAACTCATGTAAGTCTCTCTCTCTCTCTCTCTCTC